CAGGACAGAAAAAGGAGCTAATTATAAGCACAAGATGTTGCAGTGATCAAAAGTGAGGCTGTAGATAACTTATGGTCAGTCTTGAGACCACTCGACAGAACACTCTTGAGGCTCTTTTCTTGGATTTTGTGTGTTCTGCTGTTGGCAAGAAATTTCTGGAACTTCAAAACTATTCAACGTTATGACAAGGTGAGACTTTGGCACAGCACCGTCCTTATATAAAAACTTTGTAAAAAAATTCCTTATACAAAATTTTGAAATTTGTTCAGGAACTTCTTAGCGACAATTTATTCTCTTCAGACTACTTTTGGTCAGTTTTACTTTTGAGATAACGTATAAATCATGGTCAATCGTCCGTTCGAATTATTCGAACGAGGGGGTCGCAGTTGCGATTTTGAGAACGGAAGGACGTCGGATTTTGGGTGGAGCAAGGATAACTACCTTTGGAACAAGGGTTGTAGAAAAAGGTTGTTATTTAAGGGTTTCTCGAAGAGTGAATGATTCGTGAAATTCCGGTAAAGTAGACAAAAGTAGTGGGGGGGGGTCGCACCGACACTCCCCCCCCCCTAAAGGAGAGTGCTCGCAAAATTTTTAGAAAACAAAGCTAACGCGACGGTTCACCCTGGTTTCGTCCTGATTCACGTAATCAGTACTTTTACTCTTATATTATACCTTGTACTTCTTTATCTCCTCCTCCGTTTTCGGCCGACTCGCACGGAAACACAAGGCGTTTCCCATCTGGCGAGAAGAACGATCCACCGTCGTAGCCGAGTTCATGGGTAATCTAAAGTTTTCCTTGAATTTGGCTTTGAAGCCACGAGCTGGAGCTGCAGCTCACCTGTTTGACATTCGTGCCATCCGTGTTCATCGTATACAACTCTAGATCTCCGGAACGAATAGATGTGAAACGCGATTGTTTTCCCATCGGGGCTAAGCACCGCTTCAGCATCGTATCCACGCTCGTCAGTTAGTTGTTTAATGATGTTACCGTACTTGTTCACCTAATAGCGGCATGACAGTATGATTGAAGGATTGTAAGGAAAAGGTATGAGAACAGGTACTTACCAGGAATATATCGTAGTCAGGGAAAACGTCCCAAGTGTAGGAGGTGTTACAAAGCTGCTTCAGCACCGGATCTGTTATGGTCGCCGGATTCGCGCATTTCTTCGCTGGACAAGTGTTCCTGATGTTCTTGAACGTCGTTGCATTCAACTGAAAATCGTTAGCTTTTAAAGGGTCAGTTTACAGTTGCCATTTCTCTTCTTCTTACCGGCCCAGAAGTTTCCCTAGCATAAAGGCGCAGAATCATTGTCAGGCCTTTGCTCAAAAAAGCGAGCCAATGGTTGGTACCCAAGACCGGTAACTGATCGCTTCTCCCCCCTTATTGATTTCTAGGAATCTTTGTGATCGACGCGTCAAGATCTGGCCACACATATTGTCGATGGCTCAAATTTTTTACTGAACATTTCAGTCACCCACCTGATCACACGCAGTTCCATAGCCGGTCGCCTGAAGGGTAAGCTTTGAGTCGTCGTAACTAAAAAAGAACTGGCAGTGGAAAGTGAGAGATTTGCAGATCATTGGTAGTAGGCTAATGTTGTATATATCTGTAGTACTACAATACAGTTAATTCTATGGATATTTCTATGTTTGACACTCTGTGTATGGAGCAACTGTGGCGGAGCTAGCTCGAAAGGGGAGCGTGGTTGCACACAACCGAAACAGCCCAAATTCATGATTCGGCATCCCTTCTTTTATCATGCAACACTTACAAGCTTAAAAGAAAAGAGACAGAAGGCAAAATTCTGACAAGATAATAGAAGGAGCAGACCTGAAATAGCCCTCAGCATTCTGCCCACCGAAAGTTAATTGTTTGACATTCCTGAAATGCCGCTCTCCTTTGAAATGAATGATGTCGTCATATGGAGCAGTGGTTGTGTCCTGCCAGCGCATTACTTTTTCCTAAACCACGATCAATGAAGAACTGAGAAGCACGTACTCACTTTTTACTGAATACGTACAAAAACTGACCTGAGCCTCTTTTTTTTTCGGAATACGATTCGTTCGCAATTCTTCCTTTGATCCTCCTCTCTCCAGCTCACCGTTACTGACATCACTTGCGCTTGTTCCAGGATCAACCTGAACAGAAGAAGTTTGAAGCAGCAACCTCAGCACAAATGCGAATCTATTCAATGAATGGGATAGGGAAGCCACACGTAGCTCCCCCCGTGTGTGCTGTGTCGGCCGCGAAGAACCTAATCAGCATTGTGCTAGGCTTTATATATATCAGCTATTTGCGACTAATCGTAGCATTTGGACGAGTTACGTAGCGCACACTCCATGATAGGCAACGTGGATTACGAATCAGCGGCTAATTTAAATACGGTTCGTAGAGCCGTGGAGCAGCAAAGGCCGATGTCATAGTTTGCGAATCGAGCGATTCGCTAGCGAATCGCTCGATCCGAGCGTTGCGCCAGCGAATCGAACGTTGCACCAGCGAATCGAACTTTGCGCCAGCGAGTCGAACGATGTACCAGCGAGTCGAACTAGGTACCAGCGACTCAATAGTGGCGGGACCCAACGTTTAAAGGAAGCCCGCCACTTTCAACAGTGTCCACCTGTCAACTCCCGCCACTTTCAAACAGCGTCCACTGTCACGTGACACTGTTTGAAAGTGGCGGGCTTCCTTTGAAAGTTGGGTCCCGCCACTATTGAGTCGCTGGTACCTAGTTCGACTCGCTGGTACATCGTTCGACTCGCTGGCGCAAAGTTCGATTCGCTGGTGCAACGTTCGATTCGCTGGCGCAACGCTCGGATCCAGCGATTCGCTAGCGAATCGCTCGATTCGCAAACTATGACATCGGCCTTATGTGCAATCTGCTAAGCTCCCGCCCCTTCCTTATTTCAGGGAGAATTTTTGTTTTGGGTTTCATCGACGGGTTTCTTTGTTTCTCTCTTTTTTTCCAGTTACTCAGCTCGCCGTCTCCAACCTCATTATCGCGGCTATTATTCTACAAAATTCGATCTGGGGGTGTTGCTTTGGAGGCAAATGCAGGCTCAATAAGGGGGTAATTATTAGGCGACTGAAACTGAGTATAGAGATGCGAAGTGGAACGACAGTGGAGAAAAAACTGAGTAAAAACCGTCGACAAGGCCGATAACAAAACCCTCTTTCCCACTAGCAGTGAACGAGGGCTGGCTTGGGGAAAGAGGCCACGTACAAACAAGTTTTCTGGAGATGCCAGTCATTCTGTCGGTTGATACGGCAATCAACCTAGCTGATTTCACACGTTATGCCAGCCACGCACCACTTCCGGAGGTGGGCGGTCCTGGATTGACCAGGCGGCCCTGGATTGAAACCGAACGCCCCGGGGCCTTAACGGGGTTTTTCAAGGTGGGAAGTTGCTGCAATGTGTGCAGCTACCCACATACAACCTCCAGGCACGGGAATTACTTCTCTAGCGTGCCTGAGCCCGACCTTTGCCTTGAAGTACTCGAAGCATTATCGCACGTGATCGGAGCCATTTTCGAAATTTCTCTGGGAGTGTCCTGGCTGAACGAAGCGGGCGTAGTGGTGCACAGCCTCCAAGTGACGAATCGAGCAACTTTTCCTATACGCATGTTAAACGAATTCAATCAGAATCGACTTTGCTCACCAGCCAACACCAGGCCTTTTGATCCCTTCTAAGCTCTGATTGATGGCATCTCTCTGTTTGCGAAAGAATAAAACAATGGCTTGAACCTGGTTGAATCTCGCAAGAACTGTATGGGTCGATTCGATTTCAAATGCCACTACGATTCCAAATGGGAAGCAAACACGTGGCGCACCCCAGAAACGACTGACCAATGCCAACTTTTTACATTACATTTTAACTACCTTTACTAGACTCGCTCAGTCGCGTCGTAATATAACCAGATAAAAACTAAAGACCGTCAACTGAACAAGCTTCCAAGTAGAAAAAGTGCTATAAAGTGCGCGAAGTCGAACTCACCCAATCAGCGATGAAAACATTTTGGCTATGTGAACTGACGGAGCCTCGACCCGATGACCAGACAAGTTTTTTGCCATCACGAGAGAACATTGGGAATCCATCAAAGTGACTTCCGTCAAAGGTCACCTTAAACCAGGACTTGAAAGAGTTCGATTTAACTGAAGTAAGTGGTGTGGAGACCTGCTCGAGACCAGTGCCGTCCTCATTAACTATGTACAAGTTGAAATCGGGATCGTCGGGACCCGTCGAGTTGAAGTTGGAACTGAAAAACCTTTGTAGCAGTCGAGGACAAGTCAATATGAATTGTTGACCGTCAACCTAAAAATGAATCCTTTTATTGTCCGGATGATAGTAAGGGGCCCAGCTGATTTGACCAAGTGGTGTCTTGAAGACAGGACGTTTACCACTGCCGTCCACGTTCATCACATACAACTCCATTTCGTTAGGAGCAATCAGATCGCGTCTGAAGCCATCCACATTCACAAGGCACATTTTCAGCAGCGCAAATACTGAATACTTACTCGAGTAGATATTTGTACGTTGCGATTTCTTCGTCTGTCTTCGGCCGACTTGCACGATAAACAATTTTCTTGCTGTCCGGTGAGAAGAAGCCGCCTCCATCGTAAGCCAAGTTCATGTGTCAGCTGAAAGCTCTACATCACAAAGATTTTCTTGAAATCCTGGCCACAAAAAAGGCTCTAAAAATGTTTTTGTTATAGGTTCCCTGATGAAAACAAGGAGGACGTGAGGACATTTTTCTCTAACTACTTACAAGGTAAGGCGAAAATAATGCCGCACAATATTTCGATGAGATTTTAGCATCAAGTTCAAAGATAAATTTGAACCATCAACCCTGTTCATAAAAACGTGACCTTACAAAAAATTATAAGAAAAAATAAAAAGGTTCCAAACTTGTCGCCTTGGGCCCTCTTAATACTGTATTCACAAATTCGGCTGAAGCGCCGCAATGCTTCACAGCGGTACTTTGTCAACAATTTGTGGAAAAATATTCGAAGGCGCTCCTCCAAGAGACATTTGGGGTGCCCACGGGCCCGGACCACCCTTGGAGTTTATTATTCTGATGAAATAGAAACCTTTTTGATTGTAACTAAGCTCCATGCGTGGCACGCGCACTCTGTCATATTTGCTTTTCAGAAAACGGTTCTATCTGGAGCAGGGTCGGTCCTATCGTTGTTACTTTTCAAAATTTTTACGACCCCCCTCCCCCAAAGGTGGACTTGATACGACCCCCTTTTCGACACCTCGACCACCATCATCCTATAGTATAGTATTTTCTGGTACCACTCAACCCACCAAACTCCGCCCACTTTTTCCTCCAGCCCGTCGAGCAGGGGGGTGGGGGTATATACGCACTGAAACGGCGAATTTTTCTCCCATGCGCTCCCAACTCACCTAGCCTACTACTCGTGAAAACTCCACTTTCACCACAAACTCACATGTAATTTCACGCGACTGAAGCGGATACGACCCCCCCCTCCCTCCTATAAACTCAACCAGGTACGACCCCCCGTTGTTACTAGTAACAACGTAGGGTTGACCCTGGTCTGCAGTGTCCACAGTATTTCGAAGCTGCCACGATACGGCAAAACAGTAAGGCCCCTCTGACTGATTGTAAGCCCTGGAGGTGCACACGAACAGAGCGCCGTGCCGCAACGTGGTCCCCCTCCCAGCTATGTTAGCACCATTTTTCACGAAATTATCCAACTTTTTAGTTTGAAAGTTTTCAAAAATTTTGATTTGACCCATTATCTCCTTACCAGCGTCGTTCGTGAAAAAAAGGGAGGGAGTGTCGAGGAGCCGACCCACTTGAGTCCACCTTTCTCTAATGGCCGGCGGGGGCGGTGCGGTATTGCAGCGAGGCAATCCAATTTCGAATATCATCCAAATGTGACGGATAACTCTGGTGCCTGGTGAAGGAAGCCTTCTTCCCCAAGTCCATACGAAAAATTCATGCGGAGAGCTGAGCCGCATTCTACGTGAAAAAGGCCGGGATTTGAGTTCACAGTATGCACCTATCTGATTGTGAAAGGCAGAGCACACCAGTTGAAGACCCTAAGGAGTCTTTCGCCTGAAGCAGGCCTCACCTGTTTTTTGTTGGTTCCATCGATATCCATAATATAGATGTCCAGATCACCATTTTCCTTGCTAGTGTAGAGAATTTTCTTGCCATCTGGACTGATGACTGCCTCCGCATCATAGGCATCATTGTCAGTGAGTTGAGCAATGATGTTACCGTACTCATTCACCTGTGAAAATCAAACTATGTCATCAGTTCCCTTCCAATCACTTCTTGCCATTATTCTTACCTTAAATATGTCGTATGTCGGATACATATCCCATACGTAAGATTTTTCGCCTAAAATAGGAGCATGTCAAGACACCTGGCAACTTTTCAACAGATGGTAACCCTTTCATATAACTGTGGGTTAGAACTTAAGGCCGATGTCAGACTTTGCGAATCGCGCGATTCGCTAGCGTCCGCGGTCGCGTTGCGGTACCAGCCAATTGAGTGATTCACTGGCCGCGACGCGACCGCAGACGCTAGCGAATCGCGCGATTCGCAAAGTCTGACATCGGCCTTAAGAAGAGATACCTCTCTGTAAAAAATTCTATGACGGTCCATGCAAATTGAATACAAGCTAATTACAGCGGCCGTGATAGATTTGATTTCTAATATGAAAGTAGAGGCTCTACACGGTACGGCCGAATGCTCTAACCCCTGGTCCCTTCTCCCGTTGCCAACAAACTTCCACCAATCACCCGAGCGAAACTCGTATAGCATGTTACATAGTTTCTCGCGTCGTACAGCTAGACAAGGCACAGCTCACATCGCTGTTCAACGGTGAGCAACGGTCGAGGGAATCCTCAACAAAAGGTCGTGTTTATCTAACAATAAGTGGGGCTTGTGGCGTAGGGGAAGGCCAGTAACCCAATCTGAAGTTTCTCTATAGAAAAAACAGCGATATTCTAAAAAATGCCTCATATAAATACCTGAATAAAAATGGCCTGCAAGTCCTATATATGTGCTGACAGTGTGAATGACTGACCGAATACCGACTTAGAGGCACCTCTCGTGGACTGATCACACATGAAACTCCTCCGCAGCTGGCCCTACATCACCACTGCAACCCTCCCTTCTGAGCCTCACGGAAGGTTTTAATGGAAGTTGGTTCAAATCAATAATATAGAGACGGAAACTAACACTGTTCCCTGAGTATCGGATCTTCCTCGGCCTCTGGTGAGGAGCACTTCTTTGGCGTACAGCTATTGTCATCCGTTAATTTTCTGGCATTTATTTTTGTCTGAAAAGAGAATCGTTCAAGACTCACTTAGCATTAAGATCAGTGAAATCACTCCGGAAATTTTAAGTCACGAGAGTCGGATAAGTTCCAAAGGTTAGTCCCTCTCGAGTGAAGGTCTCCAGCATGAGCATGACATGTCACGACTCAAAAGTGCAAGGCAACGGCGCTAAGGCCTTGCTTTGCGTGCTGCCGTGCCACCTATCCTTATCAACCACAGCATACGTGGTCTCTGCACCCTCTCCGCGTCAACTTACGACTATCTCGCGCGTTGACCACGGCGACTTCGTAAGTGTTTTCTATGATACTTTCGCTTTTTCTCCTCACTAATCTTCCTCATTGTACTCCTTGCCTGATTTTCAAACAAAATAACGCATCAATTCAATATCGTCTCGTCCTTTAAAGGACGAATTCACGCTGGAAAGGCAACCCATTTCAAATTAACCTAGGGATGGTGAGTGGTACACGAAAGAAGGAAGAACCATGAGAAACGGCCCAGAACCCGAGAAATGGGACCCCTTCCTTCCCCGTGATTTGCAGGGTGAATATCGGTCGAGGAAATCCTCGACAGGGGGGTCGTACCTGTTGGGCTGGTCCATGGGGGGTCGTACTCTTGGGGTCAGTAACAGAAGTGGTATCATGGTGCAGATAGGTAATAGGGTATAGCGCAGCAGAAAATGAAAACATCCGAAAAAAACATGATATTAAATTTTCTTTGCAGGTTCAGTCGCTCCATTCCTCCACCTTCATGAGAAGGGCGTATTTGAAGGCAGTACAAAGAATGAAAGTGCATCCCCGCAAAGAAGAGTGCCACATGTGCGCACGCGCTGCAAAGGCACCTCCTCCGCCTATCACTCGCTCCTTCTCCCTTAATACCTCGCTGAGAATGACGCTGTTGTTAGGGACCCTGTCGGAAAACGACAACCGTGAAGAAAAAGCGCTGGGCAAATGAAGTTGTTTTTTAGGTTACAGGAATAGCACAACACACTATGTCTACTACAATACAGTTTCGTTCGAAGGTCCCCATCATATAACACCTTTCAATCGATTCTGCAACTGTGAGTGGAGGAGGGATGCATGGCTTATACCAATACCAAATCGGATGATGACGATTGCTCCTATTCTTATTGTTTGCGTTCAAAGATATTGTTCTAGACACATTCCGAGTGTTGCCAACGAGTCACACTTGCAATGGTGAATGAGGGAGCGGATTTCCAGGTGGCCGGATCCGACCTCGATAGATCCTCGACGCAATTATCTCTTCAACCAAAAAGCTGTAGAAGAAAACTAAACAGACCATCAGGAAGCGCAAACCTTCCGCTTTCCAAAACTATCTTCCCTTTTTCAGGATCTTACAATATAAGAGATATATTGCTCTTGAAGTGGCAAAAACTCGCGTGAAAATTCGGCCTCCTCGACATTTACTCGACGAAATTTGACAGACCCTATCTTTCTGCAAGGAAGGCTTCCAGAGCAATTTCGATGCTTGTTGGAAACGCGAAATCCAGCTCTATCTAACTCTACCTCAAGCTGCTTCAAAGGTTGTGAAATGGAGGAATGCAACCTTTTCATCGAGGGTGTAGATTCGGACGTTTTTTTTTGAAATTTCGGCAAATCTGACCCAGTGACAATCGCGCCGCAGCTGCCGTTGAATCGGCCTTTGATACACTCGGCTGTTTTGATATACTCAAGCAAGAATCAAGATTGAATCGCAACCCCGTGTCTTCAGGATTTCTGTGCGTTTCTGAACGAACCTCGCCTTGAGGTCACACAAAAGTTAATGCCTCTTTCCTCGAGTCGATATTTCAGTATGTACACAAAAGTATGCAGCGATGGAAGACGTGCATAGATGACAAGATGAAGCGTCCTTAGCATTATTTTGCAGAATTTTTTTTGATTTGTTTTGCAGGATTTATTTTAATTGAATTAATTTGCTCTGTTAGAGGGGGTCGTGCCAGGATCTCGATTTCGGGGGGGGGTCGTACCTCTGCGACCACGTACTCGACACGATTTTCACCCTGCACTGGTTAGTGTTGAGCATTGATGCGACTATCATCGCTGTGCCCTCTTCAACACTACGCTCTCTCACCTATCTAATCACTCGCCACGTATAGACCTGCGGCGAGTGATCAGATGATCGGTGGGCGTGCACTGGCCCACCGCGCCAAGATTGAGCCTTAATAGGTCGCCGAGTCAACTCCTTCGGTGCCAATTGCGCTTCAGTCCACACCCTTAGGAGGTCCGCGGGTCCCTCAACTAGGTGAATTACTTCTTCCTTCAGCAATTCATTCAATTTAATTTTCGTCTTTAAGTTATTCACTTATAATCATTCCCAGCTGCTGTACCTGCCAGCAAAAGATAGCGAAATTTAAGTCAAGCTAATATGCTCTACTGTGTTGGCACTGATAGGCAATCTCCAGACATTCACAAATGTGCTTGTGAAGTAATATTAACCCATAACGGACGGCCAGTGTATTTGTTGCGTGCGCCACGTGATGGCGCACGCCGCCACATAGGGTAGGGTTTATGTAGGCCTATGCGAACAGCAGGGTTAAGACGGGGCTAAGATAGATGTCTTTGTTCCATCATCCAAAAGAAGAGATTTCCAAGTTGAACGACAACTATCGTCACCCGCCTTCCGCTCTGAAAAAAGAAATGAATGAGCTGCAGTGGTACATTATCGAAAAATCCGATAAAAAAACACACCCCAAGCAAATTTTAGTGCTGTATTTAGGGGGAGGGGTCTCGGGACGTGTGAACCATGGGTAAGCCACCCATCAAATAGTAAACTTATGTAAATTAAGACAAAATGTATGTAAAATTTATTGTAGGTTTGTCAAAAATCCAGTCCAGGTCCTGGGAAGATATGTTATTCCACATTGCTGAGAGTATATATGGGTATATTAAGATTGCTAGAAACATTCCAAAAACAAAAGAAATAGTCGTGCGCCACCATGTGGCGCACGCCGTCCGTTATGGGTTAATTTTATTGAAGATATTTTTGGAAGCGGAAACGGATGGTCTTAACGTCGCGAGTGCGAAAGAATTTTGGGAAGAGGAACTGAGGATGAAGCAAATAAATCAAACGGAATATAATGTAATAAATTAATAAATAAACATACGTAAATATAATAAATATATCGTAAACAATGTCATAAATTCACGGGGGGGCCGTCCCTTAACCGTCTGTATATTTCCGATTCGTGATCACTTAAGATCGGTGATTATTGGCCGTCTAAAATGAAGAAGAGATCTGTAGTGCGCTATGAAGAAAAATACTGATCCATGATACCAGTATAGTGCCTCCCTTCAATATTATTCTAAGAAGAGACAATTCCAGGACATCAAAGGTTTAGTTTCACGACTAAAAAATACTGTTTATTTAAAGCAAGGTAGGGTGAATCCAGCGACAGGGATCTAGAAAAAACATGAGAACGGCCCAGAACCAGAGAAACGGGACCCCTTCCGTTGCCCGTTGATGCAACCCTCATAGGTGTTCCTCTCACCACCACTAATCCTCTAGTCAGCCAATTACGGCTAGAGACTGTCGCGAAGGGCCTGGATCGGGCCACGGCTAGCTGGCGTGGAATGCCTCTTTGGCCGCCTTGGGGGCATGCTCTTTCTTGCAAAACGCCTGCACCGTTTGATGACTCCGCACTGCTTCTCGATGAAACATTTCTCCCATTCTTATCGCTACCTTCGACCTTATCGTGGAATCCATGTCTTTCAAGATCACTTCTAAGCGGTAGGACAGGGAATTAACTGAGAGAGCAAAAGCGTTGACAAAGACGCTAGGCAGCACCACTACAGTACACGAAACAGTGGCACTCAAGTGAATGCAAGAGCCACGAGTCCTTGTTCGCCGTTTGAGCCCAAAACTTGATACGATTGTGTTCTTGCAGATTTCAGCATCCTTATTTAGAGATATAAATCCAATTAAATAATAAACATAAATATAATAAATAGATATAAATGAGATATAAATGAGCATATATTTAAGAAAATCATCTATTAGAAGCATGTATTTTAAGAAGTTAATATTCATTCGTATTTATTTATTTATTTATTTATTCAATGCACGCGTAGGTGCGCTGATATCAATAAAAATTGTTCTGTAGTAACACATACATATAATTGAACGAAGCTGAATCGACCTTCGTGCGACAGGTTGAGAGCGTCCTTTTTTACGAAAGAGGACGAAAAAGTTGTTATATGCAAATTCGATCGCAGACCTTTGAAAACTGACCATTTAAGAAGTCCCGTTGTTCACAGTGCAAGCCCTACTCTCTCCAAATGCTGACTGTTAAGTATTAAATAGAGTAAAAACCAGCCAAATTTAAGAAAAGCTCATTCAAAAACAGAATTTCCGATGGAAATGTAGCGCACTGGAAAATAAGCAGAGGTTAATGAGCAATGAATTGAAGAAAAACCCATGTGCAAACGCCCGAAACCCGCCGAACGTGGGACCCTCTTCCTTGCCTGTTGACTTGCCACGTGATGCGTACTCTGCACCCCTGTGCTGCTCTTCAAATCTAATCCTCTCTCCGCCTATATCTTATCCCTGTAGACCTGCAGCGAGTGATTAGATTGTCAGTGGGCTTACCCCGCCAACCGCCAAGAGTGAGCCATGCTAGATTGCCGAGGTCAAAACTTTCGCTGTCAATTGCGCGTCGGTCAGCACCCTCAGGAGGTCCGCCTGTCTCCCAACTATGCAATTTTCCCCTTCTTGACCCTTCGTTCTTATCGTGAATCCCTCCTTTTAAATCGTAAGCATTTGCACACTTCCCAGTAATCATTCTGAAAAAACTCTGGTGAAACCCCTTTTCCATCCTTATTGCCGCGTACCTCACGTCACCTGAAACACGTGAATCCGCACGCGCAATATCGATAAAACGCAGTTAGTGCACACATAGATTACTGATAGGTCAGTTGAGCTAGCGTTTGCAATTTCAGTACAGCTTTGACTTTATGTTGCTCAGGGGTTATTTTCATCAACCTTATGT